TTAATTTTATTCTAGCCCACTGATATGTGTTTCTTCAAGTAAATAGAAAAACAAAAAAAAACTAAACCCCCTTTCGTAGGAGTAGTATTCTAAAATTAGTTTTGGAAAACTCAGGCTTAAGGCCATAGCTCATACTGTATCTTCTCCTTCTAAGAAATTATCGATGAGGAGCCATATATGCTTCTGATTGCTCTCCCTCTCATGTAACTATCACAATATAGATCTCTCTCCGCTCATACGTGTGTGTGTGTGTAGGAGTGGTATTTTGGGGTAAATTTATTGACATATAAAACATACATCCAGCCAAGTACACAAATTGTATGTACCACTCACTCTGAGTTTTCACAAAGTGAGCACACCTGTAAGCCTGACCAGCCAAGAAACAGACCTCTGCCCTCATGCGCCTCCAGTCGGCCTGACCTGCAATGACTTCTAATATCATAGATTCATTTTGCCTTTTAAAATGTATATATAATGAAACAACACAATAAGTGCCACTTTGTGTCTAGCATCTTTTTTTCTTTTAAATTGAAGTATAGTTGATTTAGAATGTTGTGTTATTGTCAGGTATACAGCAAAGTGACTCAAAGATTCTTTTTCAGATTCTTGTCCATTATAGGTTATTATAAGATATTGAATATAGTTTCCTGTGCTATACAGTAGGACCTTGTTGTTTATCTATTTTAGATATAGCAGTGTGTATATGTTAATCCCAAACTCCTAATTTATCCCTCCAGCCCCTACATTCCTCTTTGGTAGCCATAGTTTGTTTTCTATGTCTATGAGTCTATTTCTGGTTTGTAAATAAGTTCATTTTTGTTTAGACTCCACATATAAGTGATACACGTGGAATATATTTGTCTTTCTCTGTGGCATCTTTTGTTCAACAATATATTTGCTAACTTTGCATTTGTGTCTAGTATACATACACACATACACACATATACATATATGTATATACATATTCTAGTGCATATATCCACATACACATACATGAGTGTGAAAAATATAAAATTCCTCCCTTTTCTTGCTTAAATATTCTAAATCAAATCTTATGTCACTTCATCCCTATGTCCTTCAGCGTGCATCTAAAAACTATGACTAGTATCTTACACGAGCACAGGGAATGCCATTCTCCCACCTAACAAAACAAAACAAAACAAAAATCCTGGCCATCATTTACTATCCCATTCATATTAAAAATTCCCAAATTGTGTATTTATAAGAGAGATTCACAGATACAGGTGTAGCTCTGACCCTGTCGCTGCTCCTGCCTCCTATCGTGCCTCCTCCAGTTGGTGTGTATTAGCATTGCCTTTGGAATGAAATCCAAACCCCTCCCACATCAGCCACGAATCTCCAAGTCTGGCTCAGAACTCACACTATGGTCAGGGTCAGCCGATTCAGACTCCTGTCTGGTTTCTGAATCCCCTTTATAACACCCACCAGGTCCTGGCCTCTTTTTGAACATCTCCCCCAAACTTCCCATGATATTTACAAGTAGGACTCGCTTCCTTTGGCTGAGGTCATCTCTGCCTGCCCCGCTCCCAGCATCCATCCTTAGCCCTAGGGGGCATACCAAATAGGCCTAGCTCTTTTTCTACAGGGAATAGCTTCAGATTTTGGAAATAGCTCAGGACCATTCTCTCCTCATTCCCCATCCACTTAGACTATGAATTTTAGAGCATTCCCCTGGCCTCAGTCAACCCCCTCTCTTTATTCTTGCTCCACACACACGTACATCCCCAATTCTGGGCCCTTCCTAATGCTGTCTGCTCTGCAGCCTCCCCACCTTCACCTGTCAACAACCCATCAGACTCCCGAGGCCAGTGTCACTGCCACCACCTTCAGGAGGCCTTTTCTGAGGTATTCCACCTGAAATGTTCTCTACATTAGCCAGAGAACCTTCATGGCTGCCTTGTGGTGTTTATTGTGTTCTGACTTGTTCTAAACTTAAGCATCTTTCGCATCCCTCACCAGATTCCAGATTCTTTGAACACAACCTCTTCCTTACCTGGGTTTGTTTTTCTTGGAATTTCTAGCAAACAGAAGTGCTAACAGTAGGTACTCTCGGTGTGTTCACTGGTGGAATCTATTACTTGCCATAAACAGATACTCAACTCATATTGGCTTAAATGGAAAAGGGAATTTCTTGCCGCAGGATGGAAAGTCCAGAAGCACAACCAATTTAGGCGCGCCTGGGTTCGGAGATCCAACAAAGTCAGCAGAAACCTGTTGTTCTCCAGTGCTCGGCCCTGCTTCTCTCTCGGTTGGCTTTATTCCTCGTAGCCTCTCCCCAGGTGGTAGTAAAGAGTATTATCTCCCAGTTGGAAACAGAGTACGCCTTTCCCAAGGGTTTCAGCCAAAGCCTCAGGTCTGACTCTCAAAGGCCAGTCTTGGGTCCTTTGCACAACCTTGAACAGTCAATAACTGCTGCCAGGGAAGTGGGGGTTCTGTTTGGCAGGACTGGATCATGGGTCCTTGTGTCCATCCCTAAGGCTAAAGGATTAAGGTCAATGGGAAGTGGAGGCTCCCCCAAAGGAAATCAGGAGGCTCTTACCAGAAGAAAGGGGAGTGGGTGCTAGGCCAGCCAAACAATCGAGATTCGGCAGCCCTGGAAGGAGGCCTGAAACAAGCGATGAGGCCTCCTGCTCTCACTCCTTCTCTGAGAGCCTCTTATAACCCCTGTGGGCCCAGAGTGTGGAGGAGAAAAACAAAGGCCCGGCACATGGGAGTCAGGAGACCTGGGTACACCCTGCTCTACATGCAAGGTAGGTGTAACCTTGAGCCCATGACTTACTTTTCTTTATCTGGAAAATAGGGCCAATAATGTAGGACCTGGCTACCACATACACTGTTGAGGGGATCAGATGAAACAGTGGTGGGTGACATGTCTGAGTCTGTAGAGACAGTCTGAAATGATTCAGTGCCATGCTAATGGGAAGATTCATTAACCCCTTTCGTACCAAGAGCCTGGGGCCTGACTACATGTGTTCAAATCCCAGCTCTGTTTCTCTTTTGCTATGAAAACTTGGGTGAGTTTACCTCTCTGACTTCAGTTGTCCTCACCTGTTGAATGGGGATAATAATTATAGAGTTGTTGTGAATATTAACTGAGTTAATATATATGACTCAATTAAAACACTGTCTGGTACAAGGGAAGCCCCATAAAAGGTTTTAATAGGTGCCACCATTGTTATTGCTTCATGCCCCCACTATTGTGTGTGTTACTCTTTATTTTTCTCAGCTAGGTTGTAAACTGCCCAAGGGCAGGGTCCACCCAGGCCACAGGCTTCTCTTCTGCTCCCTGCCTCCATTCATGCTGGGCAGATCCTGGGGCCAGGCAGATGGATGGTTGTGAGAGCCTGGTAGGGTCCAGGACTCTGACCAGATTAGAAGTGGAGGGAGCCTGCCTGGAGCCTCTGGCCTGGGGTAGGGTGGGACGGGGAATACTTGTGCTGGGGTCGGAGTAGACCCCTGGACTTCTGGGTCTTCAGAATAGGAGGGTAGGAGAGATGTGTTTCTGTGCGGGACTTGACGCCTGGCAGGACACTCATCCCAGATGGTGGAGCAGTGGGGAAAGAGTTCCCCCTTTAGGACTTCTGTGCTTCCCTTGCCCTATGACAGGGCCTACATTCAGTCTAGGCTCTTGGTGGCAGATGAGGAAGCAGAAGCTTGGAGATATCAAGGGACTTGGCCCAGGTCACACAGCTGGCTACAGCAGGGCCATCTTGGACCTCTATTTCCCAACTCAAAGCCCAACCCTGAGCCACCTCTCCTTGTGCAGATCTTAGACCCTGAAGAGGAAGTGAGGGAAGTTGTTCTGTTCCTTCTCTCTGGACCCAACAAACATTCCTAACCAGGGGTAACTTTGTTCTGACTCATAGGGACACTTCTGAATAACAGCACTGGCCACTTTATCTCTGGAATGTTTCCGGCTTACATACACACACACACACACACACACACAACTGGGGAAGTACCCTTTTTTCTTTTGCCTGAGTCTTACTAGGGCAGTGACTATTCAATCTCTCCTAGGGGGCCATAAGCAGGTGACCAGAAAGGCCTCATTTGCATCTGCTTTCTGGGAAGTGTTGTATAAACTTTAGTATAATGCTAAATGTGGTCTAAGGCAACAAAGAGGTTTTGCTGTTGTTCACTTTTTTTATTTAAAGTTAAGAAATATAGTAGAGCCACCTATAGGAGAGAG